CATACAGACTTTTTGCTTTATATATATAAGAGATTGAAAAATGGGCTGAAATTCCAAGGGAATTGGATATTTAATAAAAATTTCACGTTGAGTAAAATTGTGACTAGCTCAAGGTCATCGAAGTTACCATACTGGGATTGTATGCAACTGCCAACTAGAAATAGATTTTTAGCATTGAATACGGCTTTTATTGTTGACAGGCCCTCATTTCGTGCCGTTTTGTTTTTAATCAAAAAAATCAAGAAAAAAAGAGGAAACCTCCCAAGCTAGTCCAACAAACTCATGAACTAAAGATGTGTACATAACTGGAAAAGTTTGAACACTACATTCGTCATCAGTTTGTAAAGGTACACTTCTTCCTATTAGTTTCAAGAATAACGTAATTTTATTTGACCACTGTACCCAGTAAAATTAACACATTGTAATCAATAAAATAAAAGTCTCTTTTAGTAAGGTTTGGCAACAACTCATAACAGAAAGCTGCTAGTGTTGGACTGTAAGATCAAATATTTTATTCGGAATTCACAGCAACTAGCTCGTTTTGTTTCAGACGTTTCTAGATCACTACATATTTTTACAGCGTAATCGAAACTTCTTATTCACTGACGACACAAACAAAATCTTTTGTAATTTTGCCCATCTTTTCGGTAATACCTCAAAAATCAATACGTATGCAAGAACTCAATTTTATGTTATGATTCACGAAAACGCCATAAAGTTGCAGAAGCCAGAAGAAATGATTTCTTTCTACGACGTTCATCCTATATGGTAGTTTCGCTGACAATTATGTTTACAATGAAAACATCTCGACGTAGTCCTTCATGGGAAATATTTTCTTAGTTATTCAAAATTGCTGTGAGAATTTTTAAAGGATATCTCATGCTTACTGTTAAACTTTCTAGAAAAAGCGTAAAGTTAAGCATGTAAGCAGTCTCTTGTTTCTCCCTCGAACTTTCCAGCTAGTTGCAGAATGCCCAAGTTGAATGTTTTCGAAGGCTGCTTGGCCGAGGTGATGTAGGCAGACGGGATAAAAACGGTAAGTTTGCGTTGACAAGGCTAAAATTCAACAAATTCAATCTTTTTAAAGACTACCATTGATATATGAGAGCAAGAACTTACTTTGATGCCATCATCACAGTCGTGGTAGATGTTTATCTTTGGTTCTATTGAGCCTATCTGAGACAAAAACTTTAAGCGAAGGAGATTCTTGCAGTCGTGTGGTATGAAATGCTCAATGCTTATATTACTTAACCAGTGGCTAACCAGTAGAAATGATTAAGAATTCGTGCGTCATTGTCAATGGACCGTATAATGAATTCAACATAGAAATGTACTTCAGTTTAGCAAGTGTACATTTTTAAACCACCAATATCACCAATACCTTTTCACAGTAACCCACAAGTTAAGAAACTTAAAATAGTAATTTATGAAACGTAAATGGATATCATCTATGTAAACGGCTTGAGTTACATACTATAAATCGTGTAAGCAATGATTTGTTTAATGGTAGATATTGGAGACCAGAAAATTACTGAATGTATCTTAAGATATCCTATCTTTTTACCCTCTGATGAAATCAAAATTTTTATACTTTTTCCTTACCTCTTCTGCTGATCCACTAACTTTGAATTTTCCGTGACTATCAGTCTCAGCTGAATCCATAAGCTCATCCGGTGTTACTGAAAAATTATGTGCAAAAACAAGGTATACTTTTCCAATACCGCATTAACTAGCCATCTAAGTCTAATTTACATGCACATTTAGTTTTCCATCTACATTGGTTACTTGGAAATCTAGTACAGCCTTTAAATTTTCAGCTGGGCTTTCCTGCCAATTTCTTCTTGTGGAATTCACAGTACGAAATGATTGTGCTGATAGAAACATTTTGGGTATGTTATTTGTAAATGACCTTCCAAAAATCGTTGATCAATATTTCTCAGTCTGAATTAGGTTATTTGGTGTACAGGAGATGAGGAGAAAATAATTAATTAACACTACACAAAAAAATACTTCCAGTGCTTGTCAGTGAGCCAGTTATTTCCCGCAAGAGCATTAATACTGCTAATTTGCCCTTGCAGACAATTATGCTATAAAAAGACTGACTCAAGATGAGTAGTGGGATCTTGTGAGGTTAGGTGTATTTAATGAAAGAATAGATTTAAACACACATCTATTAATGACAAGTTATGGAATTGGTTCAATTTTATAAAGGTATAGAAAATTACTGTTATTGTTCAAGGCTAGAATAAAACTGATTCTACTAGAATACTAGAATTAGGTCACATTTGGACAGTTTCTGAAAGATGAGCAGTTCTAAGAACTGGTGTCATGAACCGAGATACTGTAGAAGATTGAAAATCATGCAAACTCACTGGTGTCATGTTCGAAAAGTTTCACTAAAACTCCTCGAGCTTGTTCTTCGCCGCACATTAGGATCCCTTCAACCGCTGTAGATTGGGTGCGGCCTATACATCGCACAATAGCAACCAAGGAGAGAAAAGTGATTAAATTCAAAAGCATAATATTGGATGTGACCTATAAAAAATTCAAAATTTTACTTCAACAGTTAAATAAATAGAAAACAATGTAGAAGTCAATTCCAGACAATAGCTATAGCAAAAAAAGATGAGCAAATTACGAAAGCTTATCATTTAAGCGAAAATCAGCACGTTTTATTGTTTTTTTCTGAAGGAAAAGTGGTACCAATTATAGAGTTTTTAATTAGGACAACTTTGGGTTTAACTTGAACAAGACTAGAGCAAGGCTACGTTCACTCTATCAAGGTATTATTTCTTTAAAAAATTTCACGTACCTTCAAATATTACGCAACAGATAATGATCTGATAAACAATCTAAGACGCAAAACTAATAAATCTCTCCTCATGTTTACTCTAAAATTGTTTAAAAAGATGGACAGCGCCCTAAAACATTTTCAAGTCAGTTAGTACTATTGAGTCAGGCGAGTTCTACATCCTTGCGCATTATTTCCTTCATCTTTTTTTTGACGATCCATAACATTTAAATTTCCAGTTCTGTATGCAAAATCTCAAAGCCTTTCCCTTCAAAAAAATCTAAACTTATCATGATAGCTTGGAAAGCGCTTTACAAAGTCATGCTTATAAGTGCAACATAAGAAACCCTGGTTCATTGCTGTGAAATTTCTCTCATTCACAACTTGAATGTTTTTGAAAGTAAACTGAATCTTTCTGAAGCAAGATACTTCTTTATTTGCGGCTAGATTGGCCAACAATGTTTTCAGTCTACCATAAGCTCATACAAATATTAAATCGTTTTCATAAATTGTTAAGTATTTACACAGTGTTTAGTCATCATTATGCTTCTATCAATTCTGCAGTCTCTTTAGCCAATGCGCGAACGAAAGGACTATAAAGTAAAGTCATAATCATCAAAGAATAACATTTATAAAAAAAACAAATACGGGTTCTTATGGAAAATTACCTGAAAGAAGCTGAAGAAAGACTTATGAATCGCCTCTGTGGCAATGAAAATCTCACAATTTTGCAAATGAACAAAAATGAAAACTGCAAATTTCAAGGAATCGAAGCTACTTGTTTACAAGAAAGAATAGGTGTTTTTGATGAAGAAGAAGCGCTGACAATTATCAAAGAAGGAAGGAGAAGCTGTTGCATTGAAGTCACTAGTGTGTGATCTTAACAATCGGTGAAGAACCTGTTTTACAGCGAAGTGACGCCTTATGTGATGTTTCGTCATCGACTTCGCCTCGAACGCAGCTATAATTTCGGCTTATATGTCTATATGCTTATAACACTAAATACCCAAATGCTCCGATGTTGCTTGGTAATCGATACTTACTATTTTGGAATTTTATGAACTACTAACCAGACAATTCAAATCTGAGACCAGACTGGTTTATCTGATTGGGCTCCTTTTCCGTCGTAAAGTTCTATGAATCAATCGATAAGTGGTAATAGACAATGTAGTCATACATTCATTTTTCGACACTTGCAACAATACACAACAAACGCTGGCCATCAGACATATGTAATATAAGGAAAACTTGAAACTACTTGCGTAACTTCTGTTGCTGTTCATCATCAGTTTTTCTTTATTGGCCGATATGATTATTTGGACTATATAAAAGTAACGAAATAGCAACAACTGAGACAAAACGCCTTTCTACTCTTGCTAATCTCCTAAAGATACATTGTTCTGGCGCCTAATGAAAGATTCCTTTTCTTTGTTTGAAATGCGTATCTAATCAATTCGCATTCTTTTAAGTGACCCCAATATTTTGATGATGGCAAGAATCGAGAATGATCCTTATGTTTTCAATCTGTAATATTAGAAACGAGAATTGATATATCGTTCAGGTATATCGACAACCAAATTTGAGTTTTCTAAGTTCGCTGAGTTCCAGTAACTTCAGTCACGAAAATCTAGAATGGATGTATTTAGAAAGAGTAGATTCACTGCTTGATTTCAGTTTAGCTGCGTAACTCTCTGTTCTCTAGATCATTTTTCGTGGCGTTTTAATGGAGAAGAGGCGCTGCGAACAATTGCATAGCTACATCAATACAGAGAGCACGTTTGGAGCAGAATTACGTCAGAACCTTCCATATATGAGCTATCTGAATATCTCTGTTCCTAAAAATTAAGCAACTCACATTCTTAAAATTAGAAGATGTGGCTCTCCTCAAAACAACAATATCGTAGTATCTATAAAATAAAAAGCTCAAAAAACCTTCAAAAGTTTCGCATTTCTATATTGAGGACCGAATTGTCTTCGTACAAAAGTTCAGCTACTTTCAAATGATTTGTACGAGAAGACTATTTGAGGACACCCGCGGCTTCAACTCGTCCATAGACTATTTCTAGCCATTATTCGTAGTTAATCACTCAAATGAACCTCAAGAGCAAAAGCAATGCGTTGCGTTCAAATAAGCATCTAGATACTTCAGTTATTAAAGGGAATGGTGTAAGAACCTGTTGTCCAATTTAAAGATAATTAAAGACCGAATGAGAGATTTTGGTTCTCCCTTAGAATGTGCTCAAAGCGCAAGAAATAGTTGTATTTTTTTCGAAAAAAGATTCAAATGTACAACATATCGAATTACTTATCACTGATCTTCTCATTGCTCTTACCATATAATAAATCTGTATCAACTTTGGCAGATCCAATATTAAAGGGAACAATCTTAATAAAATAGGGAAATTGGGCATCTTTTGTACAAGGTATATAATCTTGATGTGTTGAGCATAGGTAGAGCTTGCAGACAGAACACACGTGAGACGGTCGATTTGTGCAGTTTAGAATCACGCACTCCCTTGTTGATCTGAAATTCGAAAAATAGTAAATAGAAAGATTCAGCTTAGCCTTCCCAAATTGATTAAGATGAACATAATCCAAGATTGTTCCTTTCTCAAT